AACAACAACAACAACAACAACAACAACAACAACAACAACAATTACTCACTGCGTGGTGCTCCCCATATGTGCATCTCATGTTTTATGTCATGCCGTGGCGAGCATCTGTTCATGAGCGGTCAACTACAATAGCGCGTCCACGTGGGCGACAGGGCCGACGAAGACGAGTGACCCCTAATGCGAGTGATTGCGTATGAGTCAGAGTGAGCTTTGAATATGGTTGAATGCGAGCCTCTTCCTCTTCATCCCCCCTCCTCAGCTGCCAGGCCTTCCCCTTGTCAGCCCGTGGTAGCTTTGGAGCTTCCCATATGTGCATATGCCCCTTAGGGGTGCTGAAACCAGCGCCCCGCCTGAGACATCCTCACAATCTGCTCTCCAAGCGAAGGATGTTGAGCCCAGAAACAAGCAAACCGCCTGAGACATCCCCACAAAATGGCCGCGAACGAGCCCGTGCAACCACCCCTGGCGGCTCCCCTTAGGGGTGCTGAAACCAGCGCCCCGCCTGAGACATCCTCACAATCTGCTCTCCAAGCGAAGGATGTTGAGCCCAGAAACAAGCAAACCGCCTGAGACATCCCCACAAAATGGCCGCGAACGAGCCCGTGCAACCACCCCTGGCGGCTCCCCTTAGGGGTGCTGAAACCAGCGCCCCGCCTGAGACATCCTCACAATCTGCTCTCCAAGCGAAGGATGTTGAGCCCAGAAACAAGCAAACCGCCTGAGACATCCCCACAAAATGGCCGCGAACGAGCCCGTGCAACCACCCCTGGCGGCTCCCCTTAGGGGTGCTGAAACCAGCGCCCCGCCCGAGACATCCTCACAATCTGCTCTCCAAGCGAAGGATGTTGAGCCCAGAAGCAAGCAAACCGCCTGAGACATCCCCACAAAATGGCCGCGAACGAGCCCGTGCAACCACCCCTGGCGGCTCCCCTTAGGGGTGCTGAAACCAGCGCCCCGCCTGAGACATCCTCACAATCTGCTCTCCAAGCGAAGGATGTTGAGCCCAGAAACAAGCAAACCGCCTGAGACATCCCCACAAAATGACCGCGAACAAGCACGTGCAACCGCCCCTAGCGGCTGCCCTTAAGGGTGCTGAAACCAGCGCCCCGCTTGAGACATCCTCACAATCTGCTCTCCAAGCGAAGGATGTTGAGCCCAGAAACAGGCAAACCGCCTGAGACATCCCCACAAAATGGCCGCGAACGAGCCCGTGCAACCAACCACCCCTGGCGGCTCCCCTCAGGGGTGCTGAAACCAGCGCCCCGCTTGAGACATCCTCCAAATCTGATGTGTGTTGAGCAAGTCTGAGTATGAGTAGGTCTGAGTATGAATATGCCTGAGTATGAGTAAGTCTGTGTATGAGTAAGTCTGTGTATGCGTAAGTCTGGGTATGAGTAGGTCTGTGTATGAGAAAGTCTGTGTATGTGTACGTCTGGGTATGAGTAAGTCTGAGTATGAGTAATACTGTGTATGAGTAAGTCTGGTATGAGTAAGTCTGTGTATGAGTACGTCTGGGTGTGAGTAAGTCTGTGTATGAGTAAGTCTGTGTATGAGTATGTCTGAGTGTGAATAAGTCTGAGTATGAGTAGGTCTGAGTATGAGTAAGTCTGAGTATGAGTAAGTCTGAGTATGAGGAGGGGAGGAGGAAAGAGGAGGAGGGAGAGGCAGTAGGAGGCGTCCAAGTAATAACAAGAACCCCATCTTAGGATATGGGGAACAACAACAACAACGACGACAACAACAACAACAACAACAACAAGAACAACAACAACAACAGCAGCAGCAGCAACAACAACAACAAAAGGCGAACCAAAGACCGCCCTACACCCCGCGCCAAACTGGCGCATGAGGGTTCGGGATCGGCACCCAAGGGACAAAACGCGGAGCGTTGCCCAGCATCCGCACCCCCACTAGCACTGCACCAGCATGCCCGCGGCGAAGAGCACTCCAACCGAGAGTTTACAGGCGGGAAGCCGCGGGCCCCGCCTCCGTGAACGTCATTGGCGTCCCACCTCAGACCACGAGGTGCCACTCGGGTCTCCCCGCGCCCAGGCCGCACCTCTTGGCCGAGGTGGCAGGGCACCAAAAACCCGCGCCTGACGGCTCCGCGACAGATGCGGCAGCAAAGGGCGGGGGGGAGGGGATGGGCAAGGCCACTCTCCGGCCCGGGAGAGCAAACAACGTCCACACCAGAACTCAATCCAGGGCCGTGCCGCAACGCTATAGGAGGAAAGGGGGCGACGGACACGACAACGAAGCGAAAAACGAAGGACGACAACGAACTACCACGAACCTCCCAAAGGAGGTACCGCCCTCTCCCAGGTTCCTTACAGCACCCGCGAGCGGGCGGGATAAGGAGCCTGAAATCATCGGACCCACACCGCATTCAGGCGGTGCCACGCGGAACCCAGGCTGCACCGCTTATCCGCGGTGGCGAGCCATTTAAGAATTGCCTCGGCCTGACGGCTGGAGGAGGAGGAGGAGGAGGAGGAGGAGAAGGAGAATGAGGAGGAGGGGGTCTCCTGAGGGTTCGGGACTGAAGACGAGTCCGACCTCTGATCCGACTTCCGGCGTCGTGAGCTCTTCAGATACCGACGCCGCTCCTCGACTTCGGCCTCCCAGCAGTTGGATATTCTGCTGACCAGGCTCTGTGGTGCTCGAGAGTAGTCCTCGCTCGAATCTGACATCGATGCTGGAGACAAGCTCCTCCCCGAGGACCGAGGTTCGAGGATCAAGGATTCTGGACGTGATTGTCATTTTGTGTCTTTGAAGCCCGCCCTCGTGGCCACGGCTGGATCCTTCTCGAAATTATCGTCAGAACGTGCCCCAAGACGGGTCCAAGAGTCGTCCCCAAACCCATGCCTCCAACGTGTTGAACAAGTCATAGCGCAAATTGTTTCACCGTTTGCAGCCTCGGGGGGACGTGTTCGAACTCCACGACTGTCGCAAACGATCATGGATTAGAAAAATAAGAAGGAGACGAGACGTTCGGGGCTCGCGTATTGAAAAAGCACATCGAGAAGATTGGTAGTCCTCCTCATTCTCCTCCTCCTCCTCTTCCTCCTCCTCCTCCTCCTACCTCTGCTCCTCCTCCGCCAGATTCCACCACCCTCCCCACCTCTTCGTCATCCTCCTCCTGTATCCCTTTTCCTCATAGACTACTCCTCCCGAGGATGGTAAGCTGTAAGTGCACAGTGGCCTTGAGCTGTAAGTGCACAGTAGCGTGGATTTTAGCATTGGATTTTAGCATTGGATTTGAGCATTGGAGTTTAGCATTGGATTTTAGCATTGGATTTTAGCATTGGATTTTAGCATTGGATTTTAGCATTGGATTTTGGCATTGGATTTTTACGTTGCGCCACCGTGCACCGTGCACCGTGCACCGTGCACTCCATCGAGAACGCAACTGTGCACTTACTGCTGTGCACTTGCGACTTTAGCACTACACACTTACGGTTAACCGTGCCTCCCTGCCGCTCCCCCAAACGTGTCCGCACGGCGGGCCCCGCGTTTCGCATGAGACTTGCTCACCAGCGGGTGGTTTTCAAAATGGGCCTCGTGCCTAAGCGCCGCGAACATTCGTCGCACAAGTTCGCAACCCACTCGATGATGGACCGCGAGTGGTTTTCAAAATGTGGCTCTCGCCTGAGAGCCACGCACATCGGTGTTAAAAGTTTGCAACATGCTCGAAGATAGAAGGCGGGTCGTTTTCTAATTGCTGTTGTCGCCTGAGCGCCGCGCACATTCGCCGTATAGAAGTTTGATTCGAGGATGTAAGGCGAGTCATTTTCAAAATGTTGTTCTCGCCTTAACGCCGCGAACATTCGTCGTAAAAGTTTGCATCAACTTCAAAAACGGAGGGAGGTTCCTTTCAAACATGTGGCTCTCACCTGAGCGCCGCGCACATTCGTTTTAGCAGTTTGCAACCGTTTCAAGTGTTTGTGTATTGGAAATCCCAGGTATGGCGTTCTGGCAAGATTTAGTATTGTCAGGACGCAGCCATCACGTTGATTCGCGGTGCTGAAGTCCCAGACATGATCAGCAATAGCATTCTGGCACGATTGAGGATTTTCAAGACAGACACAACAGCCACGTTGATTCGCAGCGTTGAAATCCCAGGATTTGTGCTTTAGCACGAGTGGGGAGTCTCAGGCGATTGTTCTCCAATGGTTGGGGGGGGGCACCTCCCGCAATGAAAACAGTTTCTTGTATGAGGCCTATGAAGCGGGAACTTGGAGGGAGGGCGTATTGCAACATCGTTGATGCGGCTTGGGCTCCCACATGATCCGAATCACCACCAACCACAACATCGTGGTCATCATCGGTGCCTTCGTCATCGCCATCGTAATGGTCATGGTCATCGTCATCGTACTGTCGTCATCTCTGTCAGTATCACCCACATAATAGGCATCATCATCACCATCGTCAGCATCTTCATCTGAACACATATCACCATCGTCATCGCAACCATAATCATCGTCATCGTCATCATCATCATCATCATCATCATCACCATCCTATTCCTCATCATCACAACCATCCTCATTCGATCATCATCACCATCATCATAATCATCATCACCATCAGCAGCAGCAGCGTCATCATACTAAGTGTGTCGTCATCGTCATCGTCGTCACCATCATCGCCACCACAATACCCACCACCACCATCATCATCAACAACATCTGCATCATCATCGTCATCATCATCATCACCATCATCATGCTACACGCTGCCAGCGCAAAACGGATCGAACATTCAACGCGTCTGACTCTTACTTCGGCCGCGGGGAGGTTCCAAGGAGCCTCCGAGGAACGTCCAGGTGTCAGTGCCCAGGGCGGTACCAAAACTTACCACCTTCTCCCTCCATTCCCCCTTGTCATCCTCCTTCCCCCTCTCCTCCTCACCCTCCTCCAAATCCCCCCCCCCCACATTAGAAACTATATGCCCGCCATCTCGGATACCCCCAGGAACTTGGCCCGATGGCGGCCCGGCCAGTCCTGCTGCTGCTGGTGCAACATTTGCTGCTGCTGCTGCTGCTGCTGCAACTGCTGCTGCTGCTGCTGCAGCTGCTGCGGCAGGTGCTGCGGCTGCTGCTGTTGCTGCGGCTGGTGCTGCGGCTGCGACTGCTGCGACTGCCACTGCTGCTGCTGCTGCTGCTGCGACTGCTGCTGCTGCTGCTGCTGTTCCTGTTGCTGCTGCTGCTGCTGCTGTTGCTGCTGCTGCTGCTGCTGCTGCTGCTGCCACTGCTGTGGCTCCTCGGGGGGGGGCAGGACCGCGGCGCGGTCGGGCGCGGCACCCTTTCGAACGCCCCCGGCCCCCTACAGCCTGGCGGAAGAGGGAGGGGGGGAAGGGTGGGAGGAGCAGGGAAGGTGGAATGTACGGGAGTAACTGTATGGAACACAGAGAGACACGAAGTACAAGTAGGGGGGCCCGTGCTATGAGAGAGCACGTTCTCTTTCCTTTAACGGGAGCCAGGGCGCGCCCGTCGCCTGCGCGCTGGGTGACTCAAGGGCCCTCGTGAGCCACAACGGCGGCACACAAGGGAGTACAGAGAGAGGCGCGGGAGGAGGAGAGGCTGAGCACTGATATTGGCATGACAACCACAGCTAATACCTTCATTGCAGGCGGAACGCCGCCTCGCCTCAGTCCGTGAACTTCCACACATAATGCTCGAAAACCGTAGCCACTCAGATCCCGTAGCCATTTCATGTAGTCCCAAAGGGCGTGTGACGTACAGCCGGTACGGCTATGTGAACACGTAGGCCTTGAAAACGTCTCTAGGAGCGCTTCATGAATGGATGGTCCGATCCTGGCTCCATTATGAGATATCCAGATCCTGTTTCGTCCGCCGTTTGCCCCGTCTCGTCCATGAAGCTTTGCGGCTCGATTCCGCGGGGGTCGTACTGGCAATTAGCCGGTTCGCTCCAGGTAGCGGACTGCTGCACTGAGCTCTTTGGTCCATTGAGCAGCCTATCTCTCGTGTTTAGGAATCAGCTTGCCCTCGAGAATCGCCAGGTCGGAGTCCTCGACCTTCTCGTCCGAATATGCGGGGGCGCTCGGAAACGCGGTACATCCTGACCCTGCGATTCCAGAGCCTATTCCATCCAAAGACTTGCTGCTTCGAGTGTACCTTGTCCCAGATCTCCCTCATGGTCGCAGTGTGAGTCCAGAGCTGGGCAACGCAGGTACTGCCTTCGTCTTGGCGCCACTGCTTGTGGACATGCATATTGACAACCTGCACGGCGGTTGCGGTCCACCTGAAATTCGAAAATGCACGAGTGGAGTTTCATCTCGGGGCCGACGTCGGACGACAGATGCAACGCGTAGTGAGCGCAGGAAGCACGGCGACGCGTTCCTTCACAGAAGACGCCGACGATGTTGTCCGCGCTCGAAGGTCCCTGCTTCAGCTTTAACAAGCCCTCCTTGCTTCAAATAGAAGCAAGCCCTGTCAGGTAAGCGCCGCGGTAGGCGGTCTGGATGTCGGCCTCTTGTTTGCTGGGCGTCTTACATTGCTGCATCTCCCTAGCGCATGCCATTGACATATCCGCGGCCCACCGCTGTCCAGCCGGGCGCGCACCTGGACCCTGCACAAGAGGGCCCTCGATGAGCCCCGAGGGGTGCCCATGAGAAAAGTGAAACCCCTTAGCCACTTGAGCACCCCAGAATGAACCTCAGGAACCACGGCTTCCAAAACAATCGCAGTGACACAGAGCGTCGAGCAGGCGGCCCCTCGCCACGTCGACCCCGGCACATACTTCCCAGTTGGAGCTCATCATCTCGTCGAAAACACGCCTGTTCTTTCTGGGCAGCTTCTGGGCCGCCCCCCAGTGGGCACTGACGCGGCGTTCTTCGGGTTCGAGGGGCATCTCGCCCTTGCCTGCTGGAGACACTTTCATCCCCGGAGCGGAGACGCACCGGTCGATGGTCATGGCGGCCATCATGGCCTCATCGATGGCCTCCCCAGCTGGCGGCGCGCTGTCTTCGTATCCGTTGAGAACCCCCACGGCGCCTGAAAGCTCGGCGTAGGCGCACTTTCCAGAAGGCGTGCCAGCTCTTCTTTCCGGTCGCCCTCGCCGCAGATTCTAGTCTGATCCATGATCCCCTCGAGAGCAGACTCGCCGCCTTTTACCAACACCCCCCGGCTGTCGTCGATAAACTTCTCTATCATTCTCCTGAGGTGGGCGCCACAGGTTCCCGCCAATTTTCGGGGGTTCTTTGTAGTTTATACTGTGGGCGATAGCCAGCGCTGCGGGGGCCCATCTGGTAGGTCGCTGACGCCCTTCCATGCGAACGCTGACACAGGGCGAGCGGTCGCGGGGTCCTCGATCTCGGCCACTGCGCACGCGTGGAAGCACGCATAGAGAGGTTCGCAATCACTGTTCTCGACTGCTGCCATCAGGTAGCGCACCACGATCTCGCACTCACACGCACTGCACGACTTGATCACGTCGATCGCAATCTCGGCGGGCATTTGCGCCAGCAGCTTCATGGAGGCACGAAAGGTAGGACATCTCGGGCGCCGACGCTGCACTGCCATCGTCTCCGACAGGCGGCCATTGAAGGCGGCGCTCGGCCTTGGACCACGCGCGCCCAGCGTCTGCCGAGCACGGCTCTTCAGCACCAAGTAGATCAAGTCGTCGGTGGGTCAGCGTCCGTCTTTCGCCCTCGCGTCGGACGGCTCGTCCTGCATCACGCGGCCCGCGTCTGCGCCCTGACCTTCGTCTTCCCCTTCGCCAAGTCTTGCTTCATCTGCGGAATCTTTCTCGCCCCCACCGTCGCAACGCAGCGCGGCGGCTGCTTCGGCCCTTGGAGACAAGGCGGTCCAAGGAGTACAGGTTCCGCATGGTGGTGGACCTGCGCTGCTCGTCACGCAGATCCCCGTCGACCTCCGCAGTTCCCATGCCGACCAGGCCCGCGGGATCTTGGAAGCTTTCCCTGGGCGAGTCTCCTCCGGCGCCCTCTAAGAGAAGTCCCAAGCGCCCTCGCGCACCTAATCCGCCGCCCCTGCTCGTCGAAGTTAGCGGACGAGAGACGCGCAGGGATGATCATCAGGAGGCGCAGCTGGCGCTGGGCCTTCAGCGGAAGCCTGACTTATAGAGCCTGGGGGATCAGCCCAAGGGCCATCGGCCGCTGCAGCCGGAAAGCCACCTGAGCTGAACTCCTTTTCGCCCACCATGTCATCGCATTCCTCGCAGTCGTGAAAAGTGCCGCCCATGGCGTCACCGCTGGGGTCGACCTGCTCACCCTGCTCTCCTACTGAGGCTGGTGGGTCGTCGTCGGGTAAATGCACCAAGGGGCCAAGCGCTGGGCCCTTGGCCGGCATGGCTCCGCAGGCAGGGGAGACCCCAGCCACGGAGCCAGAATCGCAAGCTGTAAATGACGATACCTCATGACATGCCGGCACATCCACTGCGCGATGAAGACAATAGAAGAAATCACACGTCGAGAAAGCTGAGTCGGCAGCAGGCCGGGTAGAGGGGGTGAAGATTTTGTGTTCGGCGGAAAATTTCACTCGAAATGTTCAGTCTCGGATTGCGTTTCCCCGTGGCCAACCGATATGCTCTTCTCCGTTACATGTCCTCTGTTTCTCTAGTGATGCGTAATTTAGCCGACTGCACAAGTTGTAGGAAAGGTTGCACGTTCCCCTTTAACTTCGCGGAACCGCCCGCAGGGTTAAGTTCGCGCGAGAACCAGCGACACTGACCACCGGGGGTCTCCAAGGAGCCCCGAATAACCGCAATGTCTAGGGCTGCGCGCTTCTCGGTCGAGGCGAACTGTTCCCGGTTGATGCAATCGTACAGAGATGTCGCGTCGGTCATGGTGATGATGCCCAGGTCGGGATTTTGCTCCATGATCGTCGTCACTCGAATTTCTCGGTTCATAGCGCGTCGGTCTTGGAGCTCGCATCGGTAATCCTTCACAGTAAAGAGCCACAAGGTAAACCACTCGACCGCGGCCAAACCCTCGGAAAGGGCGTTGGCCTCCACCGCCACGGTAGAGCTCCCAGCACGCTCAGTCTCGTGGGAATGCCATGTAAGAATACTGACGCCAGCTTCCTTTCCCCACAAAAAGCCTTTGTCCGCGGCGCAGATCACGCCGCCTGTCTGAGCGCGACCTTGCCCCGCACCCCTGAGGTCCAGACCCGAGTCGCACATGGCGACCAGGCGGAGACGAGAAAAGGGCATGGATGCGATGGCGATCGTGGCACCGGCGCCCTTGAGGCGCCGCAATGCAGCACTTGCCTCGACAAGAGCTTTCACCTTGGAGTTGGGCAAGGCGCTGCGCAGGAGAGATGCGCCCCCCAGGCCGTTGGGCATGCATTCTCGGCGCGCCCAATTGAGTTCCCCACGCGAACCACGCCTAGCTGAAATCTCCCCTGGCGTAGCTGGCAGTTCATCCAGGGTTCTTGCAGCGCCCCCGTGGAAGACTGATGGGTCGAGCTCGCACTGCAAGATGCAGCGCCGTAGAGATGGCGAAGTCGATACTTCTCCCTCCTCGTAGAGTGCGCCCGCCGCACTCAGTTGCGCCCCCTGCGATTTCAATCCTTGCCCCGGAGTTGAACCGCTTGCGAAGGCGACAAATGGCATCGAAAAGCCTGTCTCCAATACCGCCCCCCACATCATCTGTTTCGATGATAACGAGTCCAAAAAATTACTCAGGGCGTCCGTCAAGAGCCTCGCACATGAGCATCACGCCGGGCGCCAGAGCATGGCGGGCAAAGCCATGCTCCTTGAACGCTGTCAGAAGACTTCTGCGCCAGCCTGGAGGACCGGTAACAAGTCCACATGCACGCATGTCAGCAATTCAACAAGTCGTCGGGATCTTCGCCAGGAACGCCGCCCGAAGAGAGCGAGGCAAAACGAAATTCTTCACGCTGATTTCGGAGTCCTCGAGCCAAGGCCGACTCGACGTCGCCCACCCAGGCCTTAACCTTGATGAGGGACGAACATTGTAAAGCAAGAGGTGCGTCAGCTACGGAGGGCGTAGGAACAGCGCGGCTCAGCACTGCAACGTCGGGACCATGCAATCCTCGCATAATTCATCTCGACTGAGCGTCGCAATTCCTAGGGGCAGCAGGATTATCTAGCTCGCTGTCACAATCGGCCCCTTTATCTTTCGATTTGTCGCGCCAACTGGGAGGAATGATACGTCTGCGGAATTCGCGGTAGATGTCTGCAGCGGCAGCTCCTCGATGAATGCGTGCTGCTTTAGTATCGTCAGGTCCTGCTGCGCATGTTTCAGACCACTCCACGCG